AGCAGCACAATTTACAATAGCCAAGTGTTGGAAGCAACCTAGGTGCTCATCAGTAAATGAATGGATCAAAAAACTATGGTACATTTACACAATGGAATTCTATGTAGCAGAAAGAAAGGAGCTCCTACCCTTTGCAACAGCATGGATAGAATCGGAAAACATTATGCTAAGTGAAATAAGCCAGGTGGTGAAAGACAAATACCATACGATCTCACCTTTAACAGGAACCTAAACAACAAAACAAACAAACAAGCAAAATATAACCAAAGACACTGAAATAGAGAACAGGCTGACAGTGACCACAGGGGAGAGGGAAGGGAATTTCAGGGGACAAGGAAGGGTTTACAGGAACAAGTGTAAAGGACATACGGACAAAAATTGCGGTGGGGGGAGTAGAAATGGGAGGGAGGTGGGGAGGACTGCAGGGTTTGGCTGGGATGGGAGTAAAAGACAGAAAACTCTACTGGAACAACAATCAAAATTTTTTCTAAAAAAAGAAATATTCAAAGTCATGAAAAACAGGGACCTACAGGCAAGATTGCTCTACCCAGCAAAGCTATCACTGAGAATATAAGGTCAGATAAAGAGCTTCATAGACAAGAAAAAAATTAGAGGGGTTAATCATCACCAACCCATTGTTATATGAAATACAAAGAGATTTATTTAAGAAAATGAGGATCAAAACTATGAAGAATAAAATGGCAGTAAATACATATCTATCAACAATTATCTAAAAAATGAAGTAAACAAAAATGAGGAACAGAGACATAATTGTGAATATGGAGAATGTTTTGTTGGTTGTTAGATGGGAAGGAGTTGTAGGGGAACAGGTGAAGAGGTGAGGGGATTAAAAAGTATAAATTATAAGTTATAGAATAGTCATGGGGATGTAAAGTACAGCACAGGAAATAGAGTAGCCAAAGAACATATACACATGACCGATGGACATGAACACTGGTATGAGGATTGTCTGATGGAGTAGGGGATATTGAGTGAAGGGGACAAAGGAGAAAAAAAATGGGACAGCTATAAAAGTAATCAATAAAATATAATTTTAAAAAAACTGTACACATTTTAGTCCATACTGTCCCAATTCTCCTCTCACAATTTCCCTCCCACCATTCTCTAAATCTAGTCAGTCCCAAAGTTGATTTCATTCTTTTCAGCGTCTTGAAGTCTACTTTTCCTATCTATCTCTATACTATTCATCTGAGTTTCTCATTCTAGTATACTCTAATAACTGCTTAGTCTTGCTTGAATTCATTCCATACACTGTCAGATCAATTGTCCTAAAAAGCTATTTCCATCACATCATGTCCCTGTGAAAAATTAAGACCAAGTTTTCAATAGCCTGTCCGATTAAATGCAAATTCCAATGCCTAGTTTTTAAGCCCTCCAACAACCATCTCACCTATTCAACTGCATTTTTACTGCTGTCTAATTCCAATCTGGCTAAAACCATTTTCAAAATAGTCCCACATGCTCAAAATCTGATCATTCCTAAGAGATCTTACTCATGCTCTTCTCTCCCACATAAAATGACCTTCTGCATTCTCACTATTTAAAGATGAAATGCTTTTCGTACCACATCTTCTCTGTTGACTTTCCCAAGTAGCCACATCTTACAGTAATCACTCTGCTTTATATTCCTCAGTGCTGTTGCATTTGGTCTGACCTGTGCCATCATGGGACTGTTCACATTAGGATTGTTGGTATTTTTCTGTAAAGGGTCAAACAGCAACTGATAAAGCCTGCCATTGTAGCAGGAAAGCAGCTACGGACCACAGCTGTGCTCCAGCAAAACTTTATTTGCAAAAATAGAAGGCAGGTAGGCCATGGTTTACTGACTTCTGGTTTACATAATGACTATCACTTAAATTAATTTATAAAATTTGTTGATGCAATTGCAACAACTGACACTCAAACTGGCCCCTGTGCCTCCAGGCTCAGTTAAATATAAAAATAAGGTGAATTACATACTTTTTATTATCTAAAACTTTTTCATGCCCCTATATTATGAAGGAAATTCGTCATGTTAGGCTTTATACATGGAATGCAGTGATATATAATAAGCAATATTCTTAATTACATAAGCAATAGGGAATTTTATGTTACTACTTTTGTAAACAAACCTTGGCTAAAGCAATGGGTATAATATAACATGTAATTCAGCAAAAGAGTCCCAGCTAGAGGAATCCAAGTGCAGTTTTCTGATGATCTAATCCAACTCAACAGAAAGTAGACTGTACATTATCCAGAGAAGTAGATGGTTATCGGCATATCACAGAATATACTTGCCTGAATGTCAACAGTGATAGAGCTAAATAAAATAAAATGTGGGCTCATACTCTAGGATCCAAACTCAGAATAGGGGAACTCCAAAGTACTTTGGGAGCCAGATGAGCAGCTGGTTAGGCTAATAGATTATTATGGCAGTGAAGAGGCCAAACCATCCAGAAAAACGACTATCTCTAAAAGGTGGCCAATGGAGTGAGTACAATTTTTTCAAAATTACTTAAGTATAGATGGCAAATACCTATGCTGACAAAAGACAGCCTTTATTTTGATGTGACACTTTAGAGAGTGAACACATTTTTTAATCTATAGTAACTTTATCTTCCCTAAAAAATGGTCATTAAGCATTCTCAAAACCACTACCCAAGCCAGAATATGATTTGATATCATCCTTGATTTGCTATGCTGGGCCTACAAATTGTAAGGGTTTTCATCTGCTGGAGACTTATATCTCAAGGTTAATCACAACCATTTGGCTTTTTACAGTATTAAAACATCATATTCTCTCAGGGAATTTCAAAAAAGAACACATACGCCTACTTTAGCATTGGCAGTGCAGTGTGTGTCCTACTTTATTTTAACTTCAACTACCCTTGGGCACTTTATACATTAAAAAGAAGACAATTTCTTCTTACCATGGCATTCTTTACCAAAAGGAAACGTGGCACAATACACTCCATAAACCACATGATACAAGAAGAGTGTTTGATTTTAAAAGATTTATCTGCAACCCATCATTGTGCCTTTTTTGGTCTGTCTAAATCTAAATCAGAAAGAGAATTTTTAATGAGATCTAAAGTTCCAAGTGAACCAAAGCATTTGTTTAACTTAAGCAATTATCTTATCTGTCAAGGCATTTCAGCCCCTTGAGAACACTTTCGAGAAAATAAAACTATCAATTGCACTCCAGAAGTAATAAAGGAGCAGCAGACAGATAAAGCACTTTAGGTTTTAAACTATCTCAATACTTTCTCTAGGATACAACAACAGACAATCATATATCACACAAAAGTATTTGGTGTCAAACTTCAAATGAAGGGCACAATCTGAAACACAAGAAAAATCTATCTAATTATATTCACAAGAGCAAAGGAAAGGCAACAGAAAAATTATGCAGGGTAGTTGGCTGGGGTGGGAGGTGTGGGGGTGAGTTGTCTGTTGGTCAGAGAAAGATGACTTTCAGCACTCTTGACTATGAAATTTCTACATAAAAAGAGCTCAGAGCAGTGACGTAGGAAAAGTTGGGGCTATAGAGAACACATTCTTGAATCTAGTTTACATGAACAATGTCAACAGCAGACAGAAGAAAATATATATTTCAGTCACATTAATGGGGCCCTATGTTTGAGACACAAAATCTAGGGCTTTTATTTTCTTTCTAACACTTTATCAATTATACCAATTATACATTATGCATATATTTAGTTTCTTCCTCCCACAAATCAAGCTGTAGAACCATAAGCCTGAGAATTTTAAACACATATTTTGGCAATTTTTCTTTTTTACCACTTTTTAAAATGGCTTATAGAATTGCTAATGGATACCATCAATAAATTTGAGCTGATTTTATAAGTTTATTGAGACTGTGGCTCAGAGGTATGTCCCAGACACTTTCATCATCCTACATGAAATCCTGGCACCTGTTAGAGCTCAAGCTTAGCCTGAGCTCTTGCTTCAAAAGCTTCAAAATCCAACTATTACCTGTATTCTCCAATTAACAGGCTAAGACAATTAGAGCGCTCTCACTATATAACTCATAAAAATGGAAAGATCATGGGGAAATCATAATGGAAAGTTTTCAACAATAACAAGTATAAGAAAACAGTAATTTCATATCATTATATTCTAAAAGACATCACTAAATCATTGTTAAATTAGGCTGAGAGTAGAAAATACTTTCATGTCAGCAGTAATTGCAAAATCAAGCCAAGGCAGAAGGCAACTACGTGGGGTGACAGAGCTACTTGATCAATATTATAATCAGAGAAAGCAGAAAGTGCATCGATGTGGCAGAGACCATGAACTTCAATATCTGTGCTCTCCTTTTCCAATATTAATAAGCTGTAGCCTGATCAGCTCAGTTACATTTCCTAGTCTCAAGTATGGCTTGTCTGACCATGTGTGTAATCAAGTTCTCTTTAGTGGTGTTCAAGCAGACGTGACATGCCACTTCCAGGCTGCGGACTGCTTCCTCTACTGTATTCCCAACCAAAACTGGGTCTTGGCAACAACTCAAAATCAATTATGTGCATAAAGTGGTGCCTCTAAGATAGTGATTTTTAACTGATGTGCTGCAATAATTTTTAAAACATGCAATACCTGACTATTTCACCAGTGGCACTGATATCTTTTTCCTTAGACTGTCAAATTAAAAAAAAATGACAACAGTCAACACAACAGCCATCCGGTGTGAATTAAACAAAATTATAGTTATTTTTTGGTGTGCCACAGAATTTTAGTAATTAGTTTATGTGTGCCATGGGATGAAAAAGGTTAAAAACTGCCACTCTAAGACATTGTTGAATAAACAAGATGGAAGGAACCTGAATTTTTAAATGACATTAGAGCAGAACTGAACACCTGGAACTCTGAGAAAGAAAATTTCTACTTCACCTGAACCACTGAATTTTGGGGCCTCTTTGTTGCAGTAGCTAGTAGTTCCATAATAATAATACCTGAGATAATAATAATAATGATAATAATACCTGAGATCACCTCCCTTTAGGACTTTTTTCCATTGGCAAAAATGAAGAAACTGAATGTTAGGTTAAGCAACTTGCCAAAAAGACAAATCACACTGGCAGTTCAAGTGAGAAGAGAGGTTTCCTGACTTCCAACCCAGTGTTTCCCTGGACCATCAATGACATGAGACATGAGCACCACGGTCCACATCACTGCATCACGTCCTAGGAATTTTAAGATTTATAATTAAAATGCTGAGCAAATTTAGGTATTATGACTTCTAATGATCTCACCAGTTGCAAGTTACTGAAATACATCAAATTGCTGTCAAATTTCTGCCTTGCCTTTACAGTTGATTTCCTTCTCAGTTATATCACATGCTACTTTACTCATAGATTTTGACATGGCAATCTAAACTAAAATCAAAGGCAGGAAATTTCAAGTTAGATCTGTTTCTGTCCAGAAGAACCAGGCATTAAAGAAACAAAACCACCAATTGAATGCCTGGGTTGTTACAATATTTTCTCTAATTATTCTTAAATAACCTCTAATATATGTATTTACACATAATATAAACATATAAGTCTATAAGGGAATATAGATGAACAATAATTTCTTTAATCTTATTTAAAGACTTAATTTATCTCTAGAAATTTCATAGTATCCAATCTAAATATTCAAAAAAGCCTTCAAATTGGCTCCTTTATGACATCATTTTTTCCAATATTATAATTTTTAGATATTTTTGCTCCACCAAAGAATACTCAAATTGCTCAGTATATTTTTTGAATAAATATTTTATGTTGATACAAATAATCTTTACTGTATACTTATAATAAAACTGATGCCTAATCATTTTAAAGATGTACAGACCAGTAAAAAAGACAACCCACAAAATGGGAGAAATATTCACCGAAACATCTGATGAGGGGTTGATATCCAAAATTTATAAGGAATTTACAAAATTCAACACCAAAAGAACAAACAACCCAATTGAAAAATGGGCAAATGTCCTTGATAAACACATCCAAACAGGACATATGGATGACCAAAAAACATATGAAAAGATGCTCGCTCACCCTGGCTAGTGTGGCTCAGTAGACTGAGTGCTGGCCTGCAATCCAAAGAGTTGACGATTAGATTCCCAGTCAGGGCACATGCCTGGGTTGCGGGTCAGGTCCCCAGCTCACAAGAGGCAACAACACATCAATGTTTCTATCCCCTATTTCTCCCTCCCTTCCCCTCTAAAAATAAATAAATAAAATCTTTTTTTAAAAATAAATAAAAAGCTGCTCAATGTCACTAATCATCAGAGAAATGAAAATTAAAACCACAATGTGATATCATCTCACAACTGTCAAAATGTCTATTATCAATAAATCAACAAACAACAAGTGCTGGCAAGGATGTAGAGAAAGAGGTACACTTTGCACTGTTGGTGGGAATACAGACTGGTACAGCTACTGTGGAAAGCAGTATGGAAATACCTCAAAAGATTAAAAATGGATCTGCCTTTTGACCCAGCTATCCCACTTCTGGGACTACATCTGACACTAATTTGAAAGAGCATAAGCACCCCTATGTTCATGATAGCATTATTTATAATCACCAAGATATGGAAGCAGTCCAAGTGTCCATCAGTAGATGAGTAGATAAAACAACTATGGGATAGTTACACAATGAAATACTACTCAGATATAAAAAAGAAGAAAATTTTACCCTTTGCAACAGTGTGGATGGACCTGGAGAACATTACATTAAATGAAATAAGCCAGTCAGAGATAGACAAATGCCATATTTCACTCACATGTGGAATCTAATGAACAAACTGAACTAACAGGGACAATGGGGACAGACTCATAGACGGAGAGCAGGATGACAGCTACTGGAAGAGGAAGAGGTTAGTGGGTAGAAGGATTGAGTAAAAAGGAAAAAGGACTCATTGACATGGACAACAGTGTGGTGATTGCTGGGAAGAGGGGGGTATAAGGGGACAAAATGGTAATAAAAAATACATTAAAGATTAAATTGTTTTAAAATAGGAAAGACATGCTAAAATTTATACACATGCACACACTTTAAGTAGGACCTAATGGAACCATTTAAACAAGTGTTGAAATGTGACCCATAATTGGGACTGCACCAGTGTGTTGTAAGTTTTACTTCCCACCGTAGTGGCCTTCAGAGGACAAAAACAGCCCTGGAGTGTATAACTGGTGCTGTTGCCACTGGTGTTGCCACGGTGGTTATTTACATTCAACTTCTCTCTACTTCCTTGGAACCATGTGCATTAGTAATAATAAAGCTGCTGAAACAAATAGATGCTTTAGAAATATAAAAAAATAATCTGATTAAAATCTCCATATTCATTATCTTACTTCAAATGCCATTATTATTATTAAAATCTAATAAAACACCACAGATGTATTTTATAGGTATATTTCCTCCCCTCAAAAATGATTCAAATTGTGTGCACTGGTTCGGAAACATAACTTCTTGGCAAATATCAACATGATACAAGCTGAAGTATTTATGGGGTAATCGCGTAACATTTGGGATTTTCTATAAAATACTCCGGTCTATCTCCAGAAAGAAGAAAAAGGAGAGAATAATAAGAAAAACAAAAACATCTAAAAGTTAATAGATGAGCACATTAAAGTTTACAACACTATTTTATTTTCATGTATGTTTGATATTTTCCATAATAAAAGTTTTAGCCCCTCCACCATGTGAGGACACAGAGAGAAGGCACTGGCTATGAACCAGGAAGAAGGTTCTCATCCAACTATGCTGGTACCCTAAACTCACCCTTCCAGCCTCCAGAACAACAAGAATTAAATTTCTGTTGTTTATTAAAAAAAAAAAATTAAACCCCAAGTATGAGGTTCTTAGTAGGGGCCAGGCAAGATTCTAAGCATTTCACCTCATTAATTCATTTAACCTTCACAATAACACTATAAGATACGAACTCATTTGACAGATGAAGAAACTCAGGCACAAAAAAGTTAATATTCCCAAGGTCATTTAGTAAGTTGGAGTTTAAATGCAGGTGATCTGGGTACAAATATACATAGAAAAGCCTGGAAAATATAAACTATGGGTAATTTTTTTATTTTTGCTTGTTCCTATTTTCTAATCTTTTCCCACATGAACATGTTTTTCTATAATGGGAAAATCTTTATTAATATACTAACTTCTAAAAATAGAGGAAATGTGTTTCTGAAACTCAAAATACTGTAAGCGTAGAACTCCATCATTAACAGATATGTTAAAGTGAGCAGCAACAAACTAGGGAAATTTTAGAAATGATAAAAGATTAATCACTTTGTCAGCCATTTAACCAATTCTTTCTTTCAGGGGTGTCCAACCCTTGGCCTGCAGTCCACATGCGGCTCAGGGTGGCCATGAATACAGGTCAACACAAAATCATAAATTTAATTAAAATCTTTTATTTGCTCATCAGTTTTAGTTAGTGTTTGGCCCACGACAACTCTTCCTCTCCCAGTGTGGCCCAGAGACGCCAAAAGGTTGGACATCCCTGCTTACAGAAAGAATAATATTGAAAAGAGGTCAATGTAATTTAACTGGGTAGATTCAATTAACTTTAGACCATTTTAAAATTTCCTCCATTTCCAAGGAGAAACTTACCCATTACTAAAGTTTTCCCAATTAGAATCCTGGGGAATTTTACATCAGAGTAAAAACTCTTACTCTTAAAAAGAATTATATAGATTTAAAGCAAGTTTCTCTTAAATGTTGCAAAATGACCTATCAACCTCATTTCTTATTTTTCATGAAAACTAAATTATTAAATTTATGTAGAATGGAAATTATAGTTCAGTTACTTTAACTTGCATTCTTGGTAGTAATGAGAGCTGAAGGTCAAATGAGCAAAGGAAATTTACAGGAAGATAGTAAATTTCCCTGCTGTTAACTAAGTCAATGTAGCCCAAAATGGACACAGAGAATACCACTATATTCCAGTCCTGAATGACTACAATCATAAAACAATATAAGAACCACACTATTAGAAGAATTGTTCTGAAAATGTTCAAATAAATAAGATAAATGTTGCACTGTGAAGCAATGCCATACAGGTTTTGCATGGGTGGGGTTGGAGAGGACAATTGATGCAAACCTGGCCCCAGCACTAGCCATTAAAAAATTAAGGTTAATCACTTACTGCCTCAGTAAATCACTTGAAGCCATTTCCTCATTGGTTAGACATGGGAACACCTGACACACAAGGCAGTGTGAATAATAATATGAGGTGTGCTTAAAAGCCAAGGAGGTCTTGATATAGTCTGTACTCTAAAAATGTTTTTCCTCTCTCTCAATACCACATGAGATAGTCAAGAGAGGTGAATAATGGAAAAGAATGCATTTTAGTAAAAAGGAGGACATCTCTAATCAAAGACCAGGGGATCTTGTACCTGAGTTACCAGATAGAGAAATAAGACACCAGGCCAAGGTGAGGAAATGCATGAGATTCCCATTCAAAATACAGTTGACTTCTAACTCACTTTCCTAAAACTTCTCAATAGCTTCCCACTACACCAGGTAATAAAATCCTACCTCTTTTCCGCAGCCAAAGTTCCTACATGATTTGATCTCACAACTCCCCCTCAGTAAGGGAGCTTCAGCCACACTGACCTCCAGTTTGCTCCATGAACCCCCACGTTCTTTCCATGTCCAGGTGTGCAACCCTGAGGCCTCTCAGCCTCAAGAGTTCTTGCTCTTGTTCAAACAACTGACTCGTCTCACCCTTCACATTTTCCCTTGAGCCTTCCCTAGCATCCAGCCTCAAGGAGATCCCCACCTGCTCCCCACAGAGACCCACTGTTGTATCCCTCATAGTTTTGATCACATATGCAGATGATCATCATTTACTTATTTCTGCTGCCCTTCTCTACCCACCACTGAAGTGCAAACTCTTGAGGACATAGAGCTGGTCTCTCCTTTTGATCATTATAACTCCAGCATATAACAAGTACCTGTTCGATGAAGTCTCACTGTACAAACACAAAGCACAACATATGATTTAGAAATCCATGTTGGATGAAACAGCTCCTATGTGCCAAGCACTCAACAGAATACTTTAAATAGCGAAT